TGGTGCTTCCGGCGACGGGCTTCCAGCTACGACGACGGGAGCCGGTGGGGGTAGCGGAGCCGCGGGGGGCGATTGGCTCCTCCGATCGGATCGGCCGTTCGGGAGCAGGGATGGGCTGGATTGCTTTCTTGTTTTAGTTTTAGGGGTGACTATGTAAATGTTTTTGCTTAGTTAACTCCTTAAGTCCGGGCCCACTTGTCAGAAAGTGATCAAATGAGCCAAATCCCCCAATCAGTGTTTTTTGCAAAAAGTTTACCGAATGCGCGGTGCTTTTTTGCAAAGGATTAGGGACCAGGTGGTTTTCTGCAAAAGAAGCCGTAAATATGATGGTTTTTTGCAATTAACTCAGAATAATTCCCTGCATATAGCAATGGTGAATGAGAGATTGGGCTTGCAGCTAACCTGAACAGAGAAAGCGGTTTCAGTGTCGAGTGTGGATATGCCTTGAGATAACGACCCAAGTATCTCCAGTTTAGGTGCCTGGATTATGCGGATGGTCGCAGGACTACAATATGGATAAAGTGTTACCAATCTCTCAAGGAAAGGGGCGTCCTCAATGACCAGCTCCTGGAAAGTGACGGCACCTTCCCCTTTTGAAGGTCCGTAGAAGGTGATGCTCCTGAGAGTCAAGGATGTGATGCAAAGGCGACCAAATCCCATGATGTGCATTGAAACACTTTCCAGAACAACGCATCCCGTGATCATGCTTTGGAGATGGTTATCCGAGATACCGACATCGTACATGAAAAGTTGCTTGAGGTGCGGAAAACTCGATGGCACGCCCAGGTCCGGGAATCGACAGTGGCGGCAGCTAGGGCTGGACTAACGAGCAGCTCGGCTCGTTAAGCTCGTACTCGTTAAGCTCGTGCTCGTTAAGCTCGTACTCGTTAAGCTCGTTAAGATTAACGAGCAAAAAACCCTGCTCGGCTCGGCTCGTTTGAAGCTCGTTAAGCTCGTGAGCGCTCGCGAGCGCTCGTTAACAGATTATAATGTGTTACGATATACATGATTAATGTGTAGGTATGGTTTTCAAGATAAAATATTGCGACTACAAAAAGAAATGAAGTAGTATGTTGTCTCATATGTTGATTAGATTAAATAGATAGGATGAGGTGCTACAAAAAGTTTGTCACGTAATATGAAAATATATGTTGTGTTGTTACTAACGAGCTTAACGAGCTACTCGTGAAACTCGTTAGCTCGCTCGTTAAGCTCGTTAAGCTTAACGAGCTAAAATCAATGATTGGCTCTGTTCATTAAGAAGCGAGCTACGAGCTTAACGAGCTGAACTATCGAGCGCTCATTAAGCTCGCGAGCTACGAGCTTTTGGTCCAGCCCTAGCGGCAGCGGCAGTTGGTGGTCCCATTCCAGATTGTCGACCTCGAGGTGCTGGAGGCCGGAGAGGGACCCGGAGCGGAACCAGCCGTCGATCTCGTCGGGGAGGAACCTGCGGTAGAGCGAGACGCGCCGGGCCGGGCCTGGGTGGTCGGAGAGGATACTGGGGATCGGGAGGTCGAGGATATCGACGTCATCACCGAGGTGGAGCGGCGCGTTGGGCGAGAGCCATAGGGGACGCCAGCGGCGGGAGAGGGCCTGCGTGCGCGCTCCGTCCTTGGTGGGGAGGAGCGAGACGACGGTGCCGAGCACCTCGTCGGGAAGGCGGCTGATGAGGTCATCGACGTCGAGGCCTCCATGCTCCTCCCTGCCGCCCCCCGCCCCCGGTGGTGCCTGCTGGTCGCCGGATCCGACGGATCTACTACGCCTCATGGGGGCTTCCTCCTCCATGGATTGGGGATTGGGGATTGGGGAAGCAGGGTAGGGTTTGGTCTGGTGAACTGGAATGAAATCCGAGCAGAGGAAGAAGAAGAAGGGTTTGGGGATTTTCTTTCGGCTCTAGTGGCAACCACAGCCCAAGCCCAGATGGCTCCTCGCCTGGGCCATCTGAGTTGGATGGCGTGTCTCAATAAAAAAGCATCTGAGTTGGACGCCTATTGTTCTACCTGGTGTTAATTAATAATTCAATTGTTCTGGAGGCCATAGCATGTCGCGAGGCCTGGCACTTGCGGCTGATCTATTTTTTTGGATCATTTGGTAATCGCCTGCGACTGCAAACCAGTTGTGGACGACATCAAAAAGGGGTTGGGAGGGCTCCATATAGCTATTGTGAAAAAGATAAATAGGAGAGGCGTCTATTTTGCTAGCTGTGTTCGATGACTTCTAATATCTCTGTGTTCGATGTGCTAGACTGCTGGTTTCCAGAAGTTGAATGAAAGCAGCTTAATTTTTATCGGATGTCCCCGAAGGGACAAAGCTGCTTGATTTTGACGTGATTGGCTATCTAGTTCTCTCTCTGTGTTATGGAATACACTAAGAGCATCTCCAGCCGTTTGCCCCCAGGAGGCGCCTAAATCGCCGCCTGGGGACGAGTTGGTCCTCAGTCGCCGGCCCCAGGGCCGCTCCCAGGCGCGTCTAATTTTTTTTAAAGAAAACGTTCGGTGAGTTCGTTTGAAACACGGCTAAATTCAACCAAACTTCGGCAAGTTCATACATATTTAAAATATTTTATATAAAAAAAAACGCTACTAGGCCCGCCCTCGCCCTCGCCGCTCCTCGCCACCCGCGCGCCCTTGAAGCTCTACATGCCGAGGCGCCTATAGAACTGCGTGCAGTCGTCGTCGTCGCCGCGGCCGCCGTCCCTGCTGCACCCCTCCCCAGGTTGGCGCGACGGCTTGGACGATCCGGGGGCGTCCTCGTCGTCGTCGCTATCGAGGATCACCACATCGTGCTCGTCCTCGCGCCCACGCCTGCGGGCGGCTATCTCCTCCAAGGCTCGGCGCTGCCGGACCATCTCGTCGCGGAGGTAGTCGTCCCGCGCCCACTTTAGGGCCTCCTCGTCGGAGAAGCCGCGTTGAGCTATGGCCTCGTACTCCGAGAGAAGGCCGGGCTCCACCTTCGGCCTGACGAGGACGAGGCGTCCATAGGTGGGGGAGGGGTCGGCGATGTGGACGCCGGCGCTGCAGGTGCGGTGGCTGACCGGCGTGTCCTGGGGCTCCGGCTTGACGGGGTGGAGGCAGGTAGAGACGGTCGAGCGACCGGACAAGGAGGAGGACACCCCCGTGTGCCTCAGCGTCCACGAGCTCCCACGCCGGCGGGAGAAGGACGGTGGAGCGGGGTACTCCAGCATGGGCGTGTTGCCGCCCTCGATGTACTCGAGGACGGACTCCAGCGTGCGACCGGGCAGGCCCCACCATTGGCGGCGGCCTTCGGAGTTGAGCCTCCCGGAGGGCACGGCGCTGTTGGTGGCCTCGAGCTGCTCGGCGTGGCGGCGACGAAAGTAAGGGCCCCCACAGCGGGCTGTCGGGGGTGTACCGTGGACCTTCCCTCGCCGCCTGCGGCAGAGAGGCGCGGATACGCGCGATCTCCGCACGCCGCGTCGCCCCGGTGGGCGGTGGTGGCACCGGGACCCCGCCGGCGCTGATCCTCCACGCCCCGGGCACCCGCATGTCCGGCGGGACCGGGTACTCGGCCTCAAATAGGAGCCGAGCTTCGTCCTCGTGAAGGTGGCGGCGGCCAAAGTCGTTCGCCGCCGTGCCGTCACCTGGGAAACGCTCGGCCATGGCTGAACAGGTGACGGCGAGGGGAGAGGAAGGAACGGGGCGTCGGCGACGGCAGGGGGAGAGGAAGGAACGGGGCGTCGGTGATGCAGTGTCTGTGCATCACCGGCGCGCTGGGGGCGGCTTATATAGGCGGAGGCGCCGCGCGTACGCGTGGCCGCCGTGGGTACGCGTGGCGGGCGAGGGACGTGCGTCGTCCGGTCTTCACTGCGCCGCCCGTGAGGCATCAATGGAGGCTGACCGACGCGGCAGCGCGCGGCAGCTTTGGCATTGATTCGTCGCGGGAACTGTCATGGAATTAACACGTCAGATGTCCTCATGAAAGGACTTAGTCGTGGAGCCATCGCAATGGGTTAGCTTGAAGGGGTTAAACCGGACAAGGGACACGAGAGTTTTATACTAGTTCATCCCCTTCAATGAAGGTGAAAGCCTACGTCTAGTTGTGATGAAATTGATGGGTTTCGATGACCAGGGAGCAAATACGCTTTGCCTGGGTCTCGAGTTGTTGTTTCTTGCCCTTGAACCACCGTCGGGTCGTCCCTTTACATACATAGGTTGACGCCCGGCCGGTCTATAGAGTCCCGAGGCCGGCTCATACAAGTGTCCGGCTCGGTCTCCCTTTCCTATAACTTACAATACAAGTTACATAACCATGGCGGTTTACCACTATGGGCCCTAATCCGCCTTTGGACTCCGGGCCCCTAAGCTTCATTAGTAAAGCGCCATCTTCTGGGTCTTCGTGGGCTTCAATATAGTTGAAGGTGAACCGGCCCCTTCTGGGCGGTTTACACTCAGTAGTTATATCCCCAACATTAGGCCCTAGATTGATTTGAACCTGTTCATGTCAATCTTCAATATTTAAAGAAATTCTGTGAACATCTTCTTATATTCTGTAAACCGCCATGATGTCTTCTCCTATAAACTTTGTTAAACCGTCGTGACATCACCCTCTGGACACGGCAATAGATCATCATGATGTCATCTCTGTATAAAAAGATTAAAAAGATTCCCTTCATTAATGGTATCCCGAAGATCGAGGCGACAACTGCGCCCACTTTTACCGCTTCAGGCTCCTCGATTCTCGCGCCTGCCACTTATCCCTTTCTCCTTATAAATAAAGCCGGGGGGTATTTCCATTCTCTCCCCTTTCCTCTTCGCCTCGTCTTCCTCCTCGCGACCCTGATGAACTCAAGTGCCGCCGCCGCCGTCGACCTTCAACTCTGCATCGACCAGGCCGCTGCATCAACCTGAAACGCTCCAGAGAAGAGCGGCGTCCCTCCGCAACAGATCACTGCTGTAAGTTTTCCCTTCTCCGCATATTTAGATCCATGCTAGGGTTAGCAAGTTCATCTGTACAGTTCCTCGTTCATCTCAGTTCTTCGCATTTGCTTCTGCCATGGTTTCTTTGATCTAACAGTAGCGTAGATCTCGTGCGGTAGTTGCTCCGCATCCAGTTTCGGCACTAGTAGATCTTTCTTCTTTGTAAAGAATCCTTAGTAGAACGCACGGACTTCTCTGTCCTGCTTAACGCCTTTATAGGTCGCAGCAATTTTTCTTTACTGAAGCATGGTAGATCCAAATTAATTTCATCATTGTGTGAAACCTGTTTTCTGCAACACTTAGCGAATTTCTTCTTTGTTGCTTCCCTCATAGGCGGTTTTAACTTGTAGAAAAATCATAATCCGCCTGGTACCATTAGCCCTCACTTAAACCGCCATTGAACTTGAGTAGTAGCAGCCGGTTTAACATGTATAAATTCCCGGTTTAACTCTGGTTGGTATACATGAACTTCGAATCATAAACCGGCCTTCGTGATTTTTTCAGTTTCCTTTCCAATATGACCAAGCAATTCACCGCATGCAACTGGGTTCCTTCCTGGATCACCGAAACACGGCTCAATGGATATGTTTTGACCGGCGCTTTAGCCAAGAAAGACGTCCCTCCATTGGCGAGTTCCTGGCCCTGAGTTGCCCTCCAGAGCCTCAAAACGGGGAAGTAATTGTATTCATGCAGCATCTAGACCGGGGTTTTAGCCCGCCCGGTTCAAAGTTTTTCCAGGATGTGCTTGCTAGTTTTCAACTCCATCCTCAGGATATTGGAATTTCCTCTGCTGGGTGTCCAACATATGCA